CACCTGGGTGGCTCAGTCGGTTGGGCGGCCGACTTTGGCTCAGGTCACGATCTCGCGGTCCGTGAGTTCGAGCCCCACGTCAGGCTGTGTGCTGACAGCTCGGAGCCTGGAGCCTGTTTCGGATTCTGTGTCTCCCTCTCTCTCTGCCCCTCCCCCGTTCATGCTCTGTCTCTCTCTGTCTCAAAAATAAATAAAAAACGTTAAAAAAAATTTAAAAAAAAATCATTGCTTTGTTTTATCTCTTCTATTCTCCCATCTCAAACCCCACTTCAGCTGAACTGGGGGAAAGCATCATTTCATCCTACAACTGAGCTTGTTATCAGCTGAGTCTCCATGTTTATTGAGCTGCACACCTCACATATAGACTCAAAAGTATCTCTGGAATGACCGCATCGTTCAAAAAGACAAGAACCCAAGAGTCACTCACTGCCTTTTGTGGCCTCTCCGCCGAGTGAATCTTTGATGATTTAGTTTCCCACGAAGAATTATTTTAAATTCTAACTGGAGCAAATTGTTACTGGTCCTATTATTTACTTCAAACCTGATGAAAATCTATCTGTGATATGTACAATTCTCATGCTCTTTCCTCCAAACATCCCCACTTTATGAGACTATTCAGTAACGTTCTCTGAAGAAGGTGCTCTTCCAAGATGCTACAACATGGACAAGCACCTCTTCGGACACCCATAAAAACACATGAGGTCACAGGGGCACTCACGCTTCTGGCTGCTGCAGAGCAGTCTTCATTGCTTTGATTTGTTGGAAGTGACAGGACATATCCGTGGCCATCACCATCTCAATTACCAAGGTCCGAAACTCCCTTTCAGGGACACACCGTGGAGAGAGAAGCATAGAAGTAAAAAAATGGAAAGCAAAAATTTGTTTATACTTTCTGCCACTTCTAGGCAAAACCAGTTAATTAGTTGTGACATTTCTAATCCACTTGAGCCTTTTAGGTGGGCTTTTTTTCTTTTTTTAATGGGGAATAAGTGAAGGGTAAGGATTAAGGAAATCATTTATTAGGGATATGACACATGGAATATACATATCATTCAGCATGGCTTATTTCACTGAACCTTTGCATAATGGCTAGCACAAAAATATTCGATAAACAGCTGACTGTTTAATTAAAATATAAGTACTATTTGCATCACCGTAGATTCAGAACTCTGTAAGGATTCAAATAGTTTTGCCTCTGGTGGCACCTGGGTGGCTCAGTTGGTTAAACATAGGACTTTTGATTTCGGCTCAGGTCATGATCTCACAGTTCGTGGGTTTGAGCTTTGTGTCCAGCTCTGTGCTGACAGTGCAGAGCCTGCTTGGGATTCTCTCTCTCTCTCTCTCTCTCTCTCTCTCTGCTCCTCCCCATTTGCTCTATCAAAATAAATAAACTTCAAATAAAATAAATGGTTTTGCCTCTAATCTTTGAAACACCTGACCTACATTTACATGACTTGCAGGGTTGCCATATATATCACAAAGTGTGCTAAGCATTTTAAATGGGTTATATCCTTTGTCATAACATTAACCAAAGCAAGAGATAAATTTTATTATCTATTTTCTAGAAAATAAATTTTACAACAGTATGAAGGGGTTAAGTAACTTCCTAAATGTCACATAGCTAGTAGCCATGTCCATATTCAAACTCAGGTGTGCCTAAATTCATTCAAAGACACATAATGTCATTTAGGCACTAGAATTAGTTATCCACGATTTTTTTTTTGAGCGTCAAAATAATTTTCTTAGGAAGTTTTGAAAGTTTTAAAAAAAGTTCAAATCAAATAGAAGGTGAAAAACATATTTTAAATAAAAAACTCAGATTTTAAGAAGCTAAGATTTATTCCTAGATATCTTAATTAGTTTTGGTGCAATTGTAAATGGGATCAATTCCTTGATTTTTTGTTCTGCTGCTTCATTACTGATATACAGAAATGCAACTGATTTCTATATATTGATTTTATATCCTGTGACTTTACTGAATTTGCTGAATTGCACTGCTAGGTATTTACCCAAAGGGTACAAAAATATAGATTTGTAGGGGTACAGGTATCCCAATGTTTATAGCCTCATTATCAATAATAGCCAAACTATGGAAAGAGTCCAAATGTCCACTGATTGATGAATGGATAAAGATGTGGTGTGTGGGTGTGTGTGTGTGTGTGTGTGTGTGTGTGTGTGGGTGTGTGTGTGAGTGTGTGTGTGCTGATATCAATGTAGATAGATAGATATAGATATATTACTCAGCCATCAAAAGGAATGAAGTCTTGCCATTTGCAGTGACGTGGATAGAGCTAGAGTGTATTATGCTAAGTGAAATAAATCAGAAAAAGGCAAATACCACATGATTTCACTCATATGTGGAATTTAAGAAACATATAGGAAGGGGGAAAAAGAGAGAGAAACAAACCATAAGAGACTCTTTACAACAGAGAACAAACTGAGGGTTGATGGAGGGAGGTGGGTGGGGGATGGGCTAAATGGGTGATGGGTATTAAGGAGGGTACTTGTGTTGAGCACTGGGTGTTATATGCAAGTGATGAATCACTGAATTCTACTCCCGGGGTGGGGAGGGGGGGCAGGGGCAGAAGATAAAGGCAACACAAGTTTCCTAAGGTAACAAACAGCAAGTATTTCCAAAGTGCCTATAATATATTTGAATATTTGTGTTAAGCAAAAGACAGTTGGGGGGTGGGGAACAGAGAGAAAGAGAAGAGAGAGAGCAAAGGGAGGGAGGTGAGCGGTGGGGGGAAGCAGAAGAAAGGGTGCCATAAACATTTCAAATGGTATTATTTCTCCAAAAGCAGCATATTTCATCTCTCCTCACGGTTCCTTTCTTGGCCTCCAAATCTCTCTCCTGCCTCATCCTTACCTCCAGTCGTCCTTTGAGAGATTGATCAAAATATTCATTTCCTCATCCTCTTGCAGAAGGCGGTAAGCTGCACTTAAATGGTGATTTTCTAATACGGACCTATCGTTGTACAGAATAGCAGGGTCAGACCTGAACAGAAAGCCAAGAAAATAATTTAGGATGTTAAACGGTTGAGATTTTTCAGGTAACTCTCTCAAGCTAGAATGCATCGTCTTTTTTCCAAATGTAATAATTATCTTTGCCCCATGCCATTTATATCAACCAAAAAGCTAAAACCAAACACTACAAATTATCAATAGATATATGTAGGGTATTTTAATGTCAATATGTGAATGTGAAATATGTGATATCCAACCTGAGAATTCTCTGAAAACTATTCTATAACCAGATCTCAATTATCTCTACTAGTAGCAAAGGTGATTTCATAAAACATGGGTCAACTCAAACTTCCTTGTATCTTCTGGAATAACGTTAATTTTTAAAAATTTTACTCAATGAAAGAATTTGTTTATTATCATTATAATTCTCTTAACACATACCACTTGATAGGTACAGTGTGCCAAGTTCCTCTGGTAGTGCCTTGATCTTAAAATTTGCCGTGTCAAAGTCATACGTGTAAAATTGAGAGTAAAGATGATAAGAATTATATGACAGTTTTTAGTCACTTTCTTACAGACCATTGCACCAAACACAGAGCTGTGTGTTTACTATTTCAATATCTTCAGTTTAATGAAATCTTAGATTATTACAGGTTATTTGTTGCTCATCAAGGGAGCCAAGTCTCAGTGATCTAAAGTGACTTCACAGAACCCCATAGTACCTAAGTGTCAGGGTTGGGATAAAGGCAAGGTCTTCTGAAAATTCAGCCACTGCTCCCCACAATAACTGCTGACTGTCATTGGCCACACTTTGGGATATATCTAGCATACCTTTAAAGTGTTAGGCTTAACATACCATCAAAGGACAAAGAACCAGGTCACAGATTTAGTTTTCTGTGCAGGGATCACACAGGCTGAGATGCTTTGAACAAAGTTCTATTAAAGAAGCCAATGTTTAAATTCTATTCTAAACGAAGCATACCTGAACCCACTGGAATATCCCCACTCCTATGGAGATAACACAAAACATACAAATGTCGTGGTGAAAGGTCTGGTCTTATATCTTTTAAGTCAGGCTCTAACTGACGTATATTTTGTGACATTAAGCTCATGTCCAGCTGCTGTAATTAAGCCATTTCCTCTGAGTTGGGATTGGTTTTGACATTGGTCTCCAGCAAAGACCCATGTACAGTCCACCCACCTCTCTTCCTTCAGCAAGTGCTATTCACCACAGCCTCTGTCCTCAGAGCAAAGGCTCCACTCATAGACATCCACTAAGCAGAGCTGCTCTGAGGAATTCCCTATATTTAAAGACCTTGCAAGTGAACCACAAAAGGCTGCTTCCCAGTAGCTGAGGCTCCTCTATGTGAAGAAGCAGGAGGTAGACAATGAAGCTAATGGCTTAAGTCCCTTTGTCTGCTGCTATCTATTGTAATTCCCCTTCTGAACAGAGATCAGACAGTACTGTCTTCTGTTGTGTACCCCATAATTAAGTGTTGGGTTCATTAAATACATGTCAGTTGATTTAATGAACACAATCCTATCTAGAGTGTGCACCTGCTTTTTTAAGTGAAACAGCAAGTATTTAGTTGGTTTAAATTCTCATCTCTCCCTGCTACGTTCTTCCTCTTAGCCATGCCATCTTTCCCCAAATTCTAGCTTCTTTTGATTACTATGCCAAGGCCCTATTAACCCTACTGTCAGAGTTCCATATAATTGTCTTAAGAGAAGGTAAGCTCTTGGGCCAGGACAGGACTGATAAGGTTTCATCCCAAATGGAAAAGACAATTGACTGAGACTGCTTGCCTGGAATTCTGTGCTGAGAGCAATATTAAGGAAAAATGTGAAGCTTCGTTTAAAAAAAAAAAAAGTTAGCAATATCTGTTATAGTAAAGAGGTTCAGAGTGGAGCACTTGGACCCATATTTAATACTCTCCACAGAGGTTCATTACAGTGGGTACATAGGTTGTCTATAGTAAGGAGGTCTACATGAGACAACCTAGCTCCCCAGGCCTTATGTGAGGGAGCAATGCAAGCACTCAACAGAGCAGGGATAAAATCAAGAAGGATAAGAAGAGCCTCCCCAGAATCCCGGAGATCATAGGGCAAGAAGGCTCAGGTATTGTTCATGTCAACAGAAACACCCCAAGCCTGGCCCATGCTCGCTGATTTAGTCTACTTGGCATCTTCACCTTTATGTGAACTGTTCTACCGCCTAGTAGAAATAGTATGCATAGTCCCTGTATAAGTAAACAAATAGCTAGCATCAGAATAGAGAAGAAAAGGATATCCATATTTGATGTGAATAAAATACGAGAATTGGGAGCAGATGGCTTCTCAAATTCTAAATCTTGGTCAAAGTTGACCAGGCTGATATCTTGTTGAAAAGTTGATTTTTTTCAGAAACGCCAAGGTAGAGCAACCATGCAAAAGAAAGGTGACTAACACCTTTCTGACTTCTCATTCTCGGTCCCTGCCCCCTCCTGCCTCTTCTCCAAATATTCAACATCCTCACCGGGTCTGAATGTGGAAATTGTTGGTGGTTCCGGTGTGCTCATAGTCATGGATGGCAGCTGAGAAGATTATAGCAAAGATCTCCAGCTCCGTCAGCCAGTTCTGAAAGGGAGATTACAGGGCAATCAGATAATCTGTCTCTTTCTCAGACAGAGTCTTCAGCTTGCTGACAACACACCCACATCGCTGTCTTTCCGCCCTGCAGCTGGCAAGCTGTTGCCAAACACACGTTTTCTGACAGACAGAATTTTTTTTTTCCTGCAAGGAGACTGGGGGACATGTGATTTGAGAGCAGCATGCCCAGCAAGGTTAAAAAAAAGCCAACGAGTAGTTTTATTATTTTTTTTCCAGGAAGCAAAAAACAACAAACATGAAGACTTTAAAAGCCCTCATTGTATTCTTCCCCAAATTCCACATAAAGTTTCTGGGTAGACACAGAAAAAAATGTATTAAAAATTTCAATGCAATACCAAGAACACACAGAGAACACACAGAAAACCTGATGTCTCTCCACTAGAAAGTGGGTAGGTAGACAGATGGAAAGGTAACACCTGGCCTTCTACCTTATGCGTGCTGATCTTTGAGAAGACCTCTCCCCATCCACGCCACCAAAACTGGCCGTAATCCAAGGTTCTCAGAGCGTGTTCCCTGGACCATCAGAGGTAGCATTACCTGTCAGCTTGTTACAAATACAAATCCTACCCCCATCACCCCAAACCAGAAACTCTGGATTTTACCACCAATCTGTGTTTTACCATGCAATCCGGACAATTCTGATGTATACTAGAATTTGATAGCCACTGCATATTTGAAGCTCTCTTAACTGACTTCCATTTCAATAACTTGAGATTCACTGATGCTTCCCATCCCTTCTGTAAACCATACTGCCCAATGCCCATATGACAGAACATCCATGACTGCTAGCCCAACCTTTGGGACCCTCAGCTCACTTTTGTTACTAGCTGAATCAATACAAGTTTCAGTGTGGTTTATTCCAAGCCCTGTTTTGACAAGTTGCACTTGTTATTATGATTACATAATTAAATATGATATAAAACCAATAAAATAGGAACACAAAAATGTAACTGTTTACCTATCATACCTAAATTCAATGATTTAGACATTGTGGCAAGTGTGAGACAGAAGGAAACAACTATAAAAATTTAGAGGGATTCTGCCCTGAGTTTATTCCATGAGTATCTTTAAGTTCCCATTTCCCGGGGCGCCTGGGTGGCGCAGTCGGTTAAGCGTCCGACTTCAGCCAGGTCACGATCTCGCGGTCCGTGAGTTCGAGCCCCGCGTCGGGCTCTGGGCTGATGGCTCAGAGCCTGGAGCCTGTTTCCGATTCTGTGTCTCCCTCTCTCTCTGCCCCTCCCCCGTTCATGCTCTGTCTCTCTCTGTCCCAAAAATAAATAAAAACGTTGAAAAAAAAATTTTTAAGTTCCCATTTCCCTTTGAAGAAATGAAACTAGAAATTTTAGATAGGAGCAGGGTTAAAGCAAGACAAATATGAGTACCCACATCAGCAGAATTCAGAAAAGAGCCAGGAGTCAGAATTAAAGATTAGTGAACACAATATATTTACTTGATTTAAGTTAGTACAAAGTGATTAAAAATTAACACATACATTTTCATAATTCCCACCTCAACTTTTTCTTCCCAATTAACTACTAATTTTGATATTCATCTTGAAAACTTCTTGAGAATTATTACCTTCTTTGTGGATAACTGAGGGTAAAATAAATAAACTACAGACAACCTATGGGGGGAAAAAGACCTTACAGTTTGTAAAAGAATAAGTATAGAGATACTCAGGGGGAAAAAAAAAACACTACACTTTTGCAAATGATTTCTAGCAGAATTCAGCATGAAATGTCAGGAAACTTTCTGGCATCTTTGATAGATTACACTTCAAAAATACAAGCTAGAGTGCCTGGGTGGCTCAGTCCATTGAGTCCATCTGACTCTTGATTTAGGCTCAGGTCATGATCTCATGGTTCATGAGTTTGAGCCCCACACTACCAGAGTTGAGCCTTCTTGGGGTTCTCTCTCCCTCCCTGTCTCTGTGCCCTGACCCTCCCCCATTTATGCTCTTGTACTTACTCTCTCAAAATAAATAAAGTTCAAAAAAAAAAAAATACAAACTGATCTACAGGGAACAGAAAGACATAAACACAGACTAAGATGAAAAACCAAGAAAATGAAATTAACATTTAAGATAAGTAAGAACTTCAAGTGAACTGAAGTTGCAGTGCCCTCCCTGAAAGCAGTGGGGGGCGTTTTCATCGGGCCTAGTGCCTACAGGGGCTCACTTTACATCAGGCAGCATTCTAGGTGACTCACATACAGAAACTCATGCCATACACACAACTCCGTAAGGTAGGTACTGTTGTTGCCTCCATTTTCTAGATGAGAAAACTGAAGCTGGGAGATGTTCGATGACTCACCCAAGGTCACACAGCTAGCCATGTGAAGACCCACATACTAGGTCTCCAGAATTCCCACTGAATCTCTGTCACATTTCCTTTGGGTCATTGTTCCTGTGTTTACTCAGTTTTACATAAAATTATATAGGTATAATTTTATATTACACATGCTCTTGCTACTTTCCATACATATATATTTTTTTTATTTTGGCAATGTCTTTCTTTTCTTCACCAACACCCTGTCCCCACTCGATGGCCTTCACTGTCTCTACCCATCTCATCCCCCAGTGTATCTCTTTCTCCAAACTCATACAAAGTTAACATTTTATCTTAATTAAGTTTGTTCATTTATTTTGAGAGAGAAAGAGAGCATGTGAGTAGCATAGGAGCAGAGAGAGAGGGAGAGAGAGAATTCCAAGCAGGCTCCATGATGTCGGTGCAAAGCCCAACATGGGGTTTGATCCTAATCATGACCTGAGCCAATACCAAGAGTTGCATACTTAACCAACTGAGCCAGCCAGGTGCCCCCCAAAAGTTAACATTTTAAAATAAGATTATGAGGCTATCTTGGAGCCTGTCAAGCCCTGCTTGGAACAGAGCTTCTAAAATGACAAGTATGTCTGGAACACTGTAGTCCAAGGCTATTCCTATTGGCTATAAGCAGAGTCCCTGGAAGCACACAGCTCTTCTTAAAACAGAAAATATTTACACTAGAGGTGAAACTGAATTCTCTCTAGGCAGGAGAGTGTTCGTGTGTACAAAGAAAAGGTGACCCCTGATGGCACACCCAACAAAACCAGAGTATCTGAGGAAAGGTAATTCATGCTCATGGAAACAGTGGCATGGTTCATGCCAAATTCCAAAGCAACCTTCCTGGTAGGGCCATTGGACACAAACCCATGTGATGTTTTACCCCTCAAGGATTTAAACTCATGGGAAAACAAATATAAGTGTAGGGTTTTTTTCCTATTGTTAAATAAATAAATCAATAAGTCAATCAATAAAAAGATTATGACTGGGAGACAGTATACCATCTAAACAAATCTGAATCACAGAGCATCAGCCCAGACAGTAGGCATCTAAATAACTACATAATTATGGTTCTATTACAAATATCAGTGTAACTTCTCCCCTTTGCCCAAATACACTAACAAGATCCTATCTTACTTCTAATAAACCAAAACCAGCAAATGATTTAAATAAGCAAACAACAACAACAAAAATAAGACCATACCCTTTAAAAGTCATTTTAACACCCTTGCTTTTCAAAACACCCTGTGGATGCTTAGAAATCAGTTCTGTTTCTTGAGGCTAAGAAGGACAGATGGTATCTGGCACAAAAGGAAGGAAGGAAGGATACAGGAAGAAAGGAACAGAGGAAGGGAGAGAAAAGAGAAAAAAAGGAAAAGAGAAAGGGAAGGGGAGGGAAGGAAAGAGAGAAGAGAGAAGAGAAGAGAAAAAAAAAAGAAAAGAAGGGAAAAGAAAAGAAAAAAGAAAAGAAAAGAAAAAAGAGTGAGAAACAGCTTCACAGATGGACCTTGAAGATTGGACAGAACAAGAAATGGAAGAGGGCATTTTCAGAAGGATGAAGAAATAAGCCAGTCCCAGCATCAAAAGCTGATTCATCATGAGTAAGGAAATGATTCCCTTTAGAGGAGTGAGAGTTCGGGCTACTTAGAGCCCTGGCACTAGAAGCCAGAGTGAGGAACACAAACCAGATTCAACAGGCAATGAAGTTTACATGCAAGAGGGTAACGCGGTCAGCATGCCAGTGAGGGGGAGAAATAAGAACAGTACTTCTGCATGGCAAAGTCCTTACAGTATGCAGAGATAGTATGAAGGTAGAATTCATTGCTAACTCATAGCAGTCAACTGACTGCAAGTGGGCAGAAGAGGTTGTAGTCAAGGATAAGAGTGAATTAAAGATGGTCCTCATATCACTAGCCTAAGTGACAAAAATACAAAACAAAACAAAACAAAATAATGGGTAGTATTAGATAGCATCATTAATAGAGACAAAGAAGGTGGAAGAAGTTATTTTGAGGGAAATTAGGCTTCATATTTTTTTAAGTTCACTTATTTGTTTTGAGAGACAGAAGAGAGTACAAGCACACAAGTGGGGAAGGGATAGAGAGAGAGGGAGAGAGAATTCCAAGCAGGCTCCATGGTGTCAGTGCAGAGCCCAATGCAGGGCTCGATCCAACAAACCGTGAGATCATAACCTGAGCCAAAATCAAGAGTCAGATGCTTGGCTGACTGAGCCACCCAGGAGCCCCTGGCCTCCGTATTTTAATATGGTCCAGATCGTCTTGCCTTTTCCAAGTTAATTAGTGTGAACCCAGAAGTTTTTATGACAACCCAAAAGTAAGAAATTTAAGTCCCACATGAATTGTATTCCAGAGTTATCAAACTGTGACAAGGGACAAGCCACAGATCCTATCAGCATCTCTCTATCTATAAAATATGAGTGTCACAACTAATTCAATAACAGGGATGCCGTGACAACTGGTAGCAGTGGACTTCGAATTCTGTAGTGCGTGACTCAGGAAGCAAGCGCCGTATGTGTGGGCATGCGGGCAGGTGGAGGGCAGTGGACACCTCAAGGAAAACGACATGGGCAAAACTGCTAGAGGGGACATTATTAGCAAGTTATGGCTTTGATATGGGAATGACAGT